TGCTTACAGTATCGCAATATATCGGGATATATCGTATCGTGACCCCTCTGTBATGATATGTATCGTATCGCCAAATTCTTGCCAATACACGGCCCTAGTAACGATAGACCAGATGATTTTTTTCTCAACCCTTCACAATCGGACCAAAATGCATGATTACTGTCTACAACTAGGCAAAGAAGAAAAGACGTACAAGAGTAGGGAAACAGTGATAAAAGAAAAAAGTCAATAAGCAAAGTTCGTACATTTTATTATCAGCTGAGCTGTGAGAGGAAAAAAATACCATCAAATACCGTGAAACCGGTGTAATTGTTGAAAATACCGTGATATAAAATTTGGGTCATACCGCCCAGCTCTAGACATTAGTCTTATGAAACTAGACCACAAGCAGCATCCTAAAAACAACGAAACCAGAAAATCTGACAAAGGCACAGAGTATGGATGGATGCAAGAACTACAAGAAGGATTTGGGCTCACATTTTGTTTTCAACTCATCAAAAAAACATTTTAGCTGTGACCATATGTAGTCATCTATTTGCACGACACGAAGGCAATCGGAAACTTTTACGCCTCTGAGGAATGACTGAGCTGCTAGTGGATGGCACTCCTTCCCCGCCTGCTCCTGGGAGCTCTTTACTGCAGCCAACACCGGAAAGGACTGGTGGTGGAGTGCTGGAGCAGGGAGACAGCTGGTGAGATGGGATGCAAGTGTTGCTGGCGGGTATTAAAGTTTCCTTTCAAAGGCATCCCTGAGACGACCCTGTTTGCACTCATATGCAGAGTGCGATGCAGTGCTTCATTTCCCACTTCCCAGTCGCATATAAAACGAGCCACGCCAGCAGACACAACAAGGGCTCAAATATCAACTAAACAAACACAAGCAGCGCTAACGTTAGCCACTGAGACGCTAACCTTTGACCGCTGCTAGCTACCTTTGCGAGACTATATTAAAATGAGTTAAAGCGAAGCATAATGTATTTTCATCAAGCCTTATTGATTGGCTGATGAGTGAGGAAACATATCCTATTCCAAAGAAAAGCTGAGATTTCTTCCTACGCCCGTAGGAGGAAAAAAAGAGGGACTGGTTGAAAAAAAATGTCGGTGTTGTGGTGAAAAAAACACCCCCAATTTAAAAAAGGCTTCATTCAAGACAAGTTTATCCACTAATAAATGGAGTAAAAATTACAAGTGACAGCTGATTCTTGCATTTCAGTTCTCTGAAGAAGACAATTATCTGAAACAGCAGCCCTGCTTGATTTTATTTTTAGGCAAATTAGACTGAAAGAAATCTTTTCTGGCCAAAAAAGAGTTTGAAGCTTGAAATTAACTTTTCTATTTGACCAAAAACAAAAACTATTAGCAGTTAAAACAACTATTTAATAAGCTCATATGACAATTAATTTAGCTTGCCAAGAAAAACACAACAATATTAATAATAGATTCCATTTATATGGCACTTTACATTTGTAAACCTTAAAATGCTACATCGTAAAACTCAAAAGCAACAGAACAAAATAACTAAAAAAAACCCACACATATACATGTAACGTACTAGATAAATGTTTTCATAGTGAAAAATGCTCCTATTTTCTGTTAGTGGATAGAACTTGCCTTGAAACACTCCTTTAACGAGGGGCGCTTTTTTCAGCACAACACCGGTGAAGTCCCATGCCAGTTTTGGGAAGGATAGCTCCTTTTTATTTGGCATTTTCTGACTACTTATCTCCCCAAAAAACTATCCCACTAAATGGGATAATACCAGAAAACCGATATATAGAGGTTTTACTTTGAACGAGTGGCCGAGAAAAGAGCAATTCACGAGGCCCAATTAAACCTCCATTGGACACGTTCATCCAGCGTTTTCCGGCGGAGCTCCATATTGCCTGTGTTTGTATCCCACACCAGGTCCATCCGCGCCCCGCGTGTGGGAAAACCGTTATACCGCTAAAGAGCACCTCGAGGCGGGGCCGTGTGCTCGAGTCTAACCGGGCAGGACTTACCTTGCTTGCTTTCTATTTTTCTCGACATTTTCGTAGCCAGCAGGCAGCTGTGTGATCCCCCACACACTCGCGGTTCAACAAAACGCCACGGTCGATGCAGACAGACGAGCCTCGCCGTCGTCGTGCGTCCCCTCCGAGATTATTTCCTCATTTTCGATATACTCTTGTGTCCATGGGATGATTCCGCCGGGTTACAAATCATGTACTTGTAGGCCACACACATTGGTACGGTCAAACGCGGTCTCTGTCCGTCTCCGGGTAATTTTCACTGGATACACATACGCACAACACACTCACGTTAGTGCCCTGGACCCAGACTCTGTAGGAACAAGCTTGTCCAGAGTAACAGCGCCCCCTGGCGGCAGGTATTAGAAATATCGATATGTCAGCAAAGGGGATGGGCGTGTTTCAATCTCAGTCCAGAGGGTTGCAACAAACCAGACTGCTGGTCTGTTTTCACACTTAAACTATGTACTCTGAGTAACTTTAAAACCAAGACAAAAACAACAGGCCACAAACAGTCAAGTTTAAATCACAGGAAAATCAAAAATAGAAGATTGAAGCCAAGTTTAACATCACCTGCTGCAGAAATCTGTATCTGAAATCTGAAGGTTTTTACATACAACAACAATGCTTTGCTCATATTAATTATTTTCGTTTTATTGATGGGACTGTATTTGGTCATAGTCATTTTCAAAATATCTTTGCACCATGTGAAGGTTTATCATTGAACTGTGACTGATGTAAACATCCACCCTGCCAGTGCCCCCCTTCATTTTTCATTCTTTTGCGTCATACATTTTGTGAGGGTATTGTGCAAAACCAGCCTTTTTTTTTTTTAGCTTTATATCATGTTTTAATGTCATTCCCTCATCAAAAACAAACCCAGAGTGTTGCTTTGACTCATTCATGCATGTTTGAAAGCTCCTTGGATCTCATCTGGTAGCCTTGTGGAGCTGCCTAACTGCTTTCTGATACAAAACTCCACCTATTTATACTTAGCACCTCCCTGGAGCTCACTCTACAGCTGAGAATCCTCCCCACTGAGCACCCTTCACCTATTTGTTGTGAATATGTGCTGAAGTGGGAGGGTTGAAAACAATAGGAGGTTCTTAAAGAGACAGAAGCCAATTTCAAGGCATTTAGATGAAACAAAATCAAATGTATTTAGGTTATATATATTTACAGCTCTTTCATGACAACTGAAAGTAATATGGTTACTTGATCGTTGTATAGAATTGAAC